GTGGTAGGGGACAGCTAGTCACTCATACAAACACTGGAAAACATTGCAGAAGGGACTAAAAAAGCCAAAAAATAAAAAATGAATTACAACGCATGCACAAACCCTCATATATACACAAACACACATATATACACATATACATACATACACACACACACACACACACACACACACACATATATATATACACACACACACACACACACACAAAACACATAATACGCAGACTGGGCCACAGCAACGCATGGCAGGGGATGGCTAGTCACTCATAAAAACACTGAAAAACACAGCGGAAGGGACTTAGAAAGCTAAAACCCGGAAATTACATTACAATGCATGCACAAAACCACAAACATATATATGCAAACACACATATACACAAATATATACAGGCACAAAACACACATACGCAGACTGGGCCACAGCAACATGTGACAGGGGTCAGCTAATACAAACACACACACATATAAAAACATATATATATACACACACAAACATTTTCCATATTACATACAAGGTTCAAATTAGATTGGTTCACATGGAAATTGGAACAAAATGAAAATTTCACACACACATAAACACACACACACACCGCATCCATCTTTCAAACTGCAGGGTTTGAAAGAGAATCCATTTCCTTTATGATTTCAATTGAGAAGTTTCATGCAGATTTTTAAAAAAGTAATGTTAGAGCAGGCTGGAATTACAGCTGAACACACGCAGAAGGGACCTGAGCTGGAAACAGTGGGTTATTCTTCCTTGTGACTCACGAACCCACAAATTGCATGTCCTGGAGCATAGCTTTTCGGGGGTTTAATAAACCCTCATATTTGCTGTTTGTCTAGAATTGCATAAACTGGGGCAGTTGTCAAGCAATTGGCAGGACATTCTACAAGACTGGAAAACCGTTTGGCTTCGTGGGTTGCAAGCTGCAGAGTGTCAACGTGAAAGTTTCTCGGTGGTTAATAAAAGCCGACAGTCCTGGCTGGAAGAACTCCGCTGACCAGAGAGAAGGGCCAATGCAAAGGCTAAATGAAAAATTAAAGCGGTCTACATTTGACCGACTGGCAACACATTATCAGACATACGACTTGTCAGGTGGACAAATACAGCTTGCTTCTGTTTTGATATATTGCGGTGCTGAGGAGATGCCATGATTGATTACTGGAACATTTTTGCTTTTTTGCTAGAAGCCCAAATTTTGTTTTTTTTCAATAGTGAGATCATTAGAAATCGCTAATTGAATATATTGCCATGTTCCATCTCCCAGGAGCCTGATTTGCCTTACTTTATAGTTGCTTGAGGTTGCTTCCTCT